ACAGAGACTAGTGTTTGAAATATTGGAATCATGTATATAAATAGGGCGTTGAGTGTAGCAGTAGTCTTGTTCTTCAGTTAGTAAATAAACTTACCTTTCGACATATGAACGCCCAAGCTTTATTTATCGGAACTGTTACAGTCTGTGACACTATTATCACTTGAATAAGTTGAACAGGCTATCCGGGTCGCTTGATGTCCCCTGCAGGAGGTCAACAGCTTCGCATGCAAGTAGGACTTGTTACGAAAGTTTGCGTTGAGGCCAGATTGAGTTGTACGGAGTTTAGTGATTAAAGTGACCAGTGCCATCTCAACATTGTCTTTCACCTCTTGTTTGTCGAGAATAAACTGCAAAGATAGTTCGTTCCATTTAGCTAACAGCATCTGCTGGTGCTCCTGCCCTTCAAAAGTATCTTTTATAGATGCATAAATTGAATTTATTGAAGGGGCTACTCCATTGTTCTCTCTAATTATTGATCTATAGTGGCCAAGGACGTTATCTTTTAACATTATCGTAAGTGCTCTGCTTCTATCTCCCTGTGCAATACCAATCATGTCTCAATTTTCGCGAAATAATTCGAATTTCCTATCAAATAGGTCCGAAGGTGAGCCACTGTATTTATTCTCTTCAGTATAAATTTTAATAAGACTGAAAATTGAATTATTGTTACTAATAAGAGTATCATCTTGAGGTCGGGCGGAGTCTGAACGAAATTTTGAAGAAGATTTTGATACAGTTGAAATTGGACGGTGTTTCTCTTTTATTTCATGAAGGCAGTCTTCTGGCATTGCTTCCTATGTAGCATGCTGGGCTTTAAGTAGTTCGACTGCGATTGAGTGACCCTTTCTTGGTACAAAAACATTTCGAGATCGGAGGAAATCTCTTAATAATCGTGTTTGAATTGTTGTCTTTTTATATTCGGTGTCACTGAAGGATTCGAAGTCCAAGATCCATAATACATGTAGTTTTCTACCTGCAATGTTGTCCTCTGTGTTTGCTTGAATCCTTTCGTCAATATATGTTGATATCTGCGCGGAAGTTGCTGCAGTTGCGTCTTGTGTGGTCCATGGCTTGAAATCGGGCTCTTCAATATAGGACATCTTGAATTAATAAAAAAACAACCTACGGCTGCGTCTTTATATATGGCAATGGATTAAGTAACCTACGGCTACAAATTCCCTCAGTAAAATAATCTACGACTATCCTATTGATTGGTTCTGATCTGCTTCGGAAACTGATCTGTGTCGATAACCTAAAGTTTGTAACACTTTCTTGAATCGTTCTTGATCCTTTTTGGATTCAGCACTACATACTATATAAGTAAAAACAGCTTTAAATCTGTTGGAAATTCACACCCTGGATGTTTGAAGTTTCCCTAGGATTGGAACAACAAAGGTTCTCACACCTGAATCACGACTGGGGTCAGTAGCAGTCACCTTATTGAGCATGTTTGGTGTACGAGACTCGACTGGAACATGGAGAGATGTGATACCCGTCGGGTATAGTTTGACTCATCGACCCTGTTCTTATCTTAATTGCTGGAGCATGGGACTAGGCTCGGGGTTGATACTTGGTTTGGATTTGGATTGCTGAGATACGTGTATATAAGCTGCCTAGGAGCATCCAAGACAGGTTAATTAATTTAATTCATTCTATATCGCACTTCTCTTTCTACAGCTTACTATATTTTCTTCCGACTCATATTGATATTATTCTATTCGTAAATCGCGCCCATATTCCTTGAGCTGCCTTACTCATTGAACTCATACGATTTCTCAACAATATCATTACATCATTAGAGTCTATTTCACATGACACGACCCCTCTTTTCCCCTGCAACATTAGCTGATATCGACGCAATGAAAACCAGCTGATGAAAGATCAATTACTATAAACCAACACTGAGTAACTTTGAACCCCACGTATGTTGGTAGGGTACTGCCAGTTGTGGATCAAAGCTACTTTCTCGGGATCGACCTTAATGTCGTTTACGCCAATAATGAAGCCAAGGAACCTTGTTTTTGATACACTGAATTCACTCTTCTTGATGTCTGCTTGCAGACCGTGGTTAACCAGGATTCTTATAATTCTCTTGACGTGTATTCCGTGCTCTTCTTCACAGTCTGAATAGATCAGGATGTCGTCCATACATGCAGAGCAGAAATCATCGAGATGCTCCATGAGTATTTCATTAATAAACCTTTGAAAGGTTGCAGGACCTGTCGAACCTTTTGAGCCGGTTCGGAAGCTTTAATGGTTGATACTAGGGGTATCTGGAAGAGTAGCTCGCACAGGAGCTTTCGATTGAAGTAAAATAGAAAGATGTAATTGTCTGTCTTCCTCTTTCTCTCAGCTTTTATATCTACATATATCTACTATCTGACATGTGATGATAATATCTAGAAAAAGCTTCCTTGCATCACAGGACACAATCCAAACATGCTGTAGCCAAGATGTAATCCTTAACAGACTCAATACCAGTCCACCATGTCTATTACACGGACGACAAGTATTTTCTAGCTGAAAATTACCCAAAACGCCAAGGTTTTCCTGAGGCAATCATAAATTATGTAAGGTACCAGCTTGGCATTTTATTCTGACAATAATGTTACAATCATGTTAGAAGAATGGAATGTACATGAATCACGAAACATTAATTCAGGAATACGAATTTCATCGGGCTCTGATCCTGGTCTGACAGGCGTGAGCGCGTATATGTTGGCCAGGTGAGGCCAGAGAAAGTCAAAGAGAGATATGGTTAATGAAACAAGGATGTACTTTGTCAAACTTATAGACTTGATGAGACCTAGGTAGGAGTCGGTCTCGTTGCGAGTGAAAATATGAAATGGTAAGTTTTTTTGAATCGATGCCTCGTGGGCTAACTTCTTTGGTTTTGTAGAACTTGACTCTGGGTGAAAATTTCACTCACAGGTTCGTAGAGGACACTGCGAACATGTGCTCAGTCTTGTCAGACGAACAGCTCCCTTATATATATATAAGCCTTGCAACGAACGTCTACTCTTCACAAATAATACGTAAATTTAATCTTCACGTCTTCCTAGCTCTTCTGTTCCAAATATTAATAAGTCTGGATTTCAAGAAGTCATATATAAACTTCATGGCCAGGTGTATGACAAATACTGCTTCCAAAGGCGTGATAGACGTTCAATCAACGTAAAGCACCCGACGTTATGCAAGTAGTTTATGTATATTTTGGATTTATGGAGAATTATTAATTGTAATGCAAACAAATTCTGTGTTTCTGTTCAATATGCAGCACAAGTAAATAGGCGCAACATTATCTGAACGAAAGGTGTTGGCTAAGAGAGAGTCATATTCAGACAACCATGGGGGACTATTCTCAACGGCTGTCAGTGGCGTCCCCTACGAACCTCCAGTTCTCACTTTAGAGTCTGCAGAGCCGAGACTGAATAACACCGTCCTTGCTTCGATGAAGATTCCCAATCGCTTGCGTGGTCTGTATCGTCTTAATCCCTAAGCACAACCCTCTCCAAAAACCATTATCATGGAGCTAACCACGATCAGATCAGATGGTAGAGTCGAAGCCCTATCATCACCAACCCTTGATCATGGAGGAAAAGCCATCCGATGAGTTTCCGGAGCTTACCCAGCACCCGATACGGAGATGGTGGATTGGATCAAGTCGGCCTCGACTGTTATAAAGAAGGGAGATATAGATGAATATGCGCAGCTCATGTGGTCTCCGGTGTCTAGGCCTCGCCTGGCTGGGCCTGCAGGTTTTTTGAGACTTTTTCCCGCGCACGCAGTTTCCACTGCTACCGTTTTTATTTTATTGGGAGAAGGTTCCGTGGAAAAGGTGGTTGAATTCCACGGGTAAACACTGAGCTGAATGGCTATTCATCATGGGCAATATATCAATGACCTTTCAAGTAACAAAAGAGGCAAGGAGCACTGTATAAGATGTGGCCTGGGTCAGAGGGGAGCCCAATAAGCTGGATAGTCATAGACTCAAGCAGCACAATAAACTACACATACATACTCCTCAGATGAGAGGCTCAAGAATCCCCCGATTACACTAATTTGAAGGCAAATCCAGACCTATGATAGAGCCCTACGATAGTGGCTAGACATTTGGGTTACAGAGCCGCGATCGTCTCCAAATTTTTAGGGAAATAATGACCCCTCAGTCATTGAGGTTGTAGAGCGCATTGATTCAAGCAACTAGCGAAATGAACCCAAGTACAGAATTTGTAGACATATGTGTAACAACAACGTTGCCTACTTGATAGCCCCAATTATTCTAAATTCTAACAAAATTACTTGTTTTTGGGCGCACCTAAGCTATATTTACTTCTGTCTCATATACGAAGTATGATGGCCTGTATGGCGTACTGCAGCGCCACTCCGTTTAAAAAGAAGACTTCGGACAAGGATGCCATTAGACTTTATATCTTTAACTGTAGTCCGTGATACAAGCTGGTACTTTGCTCTTAGGGTCTGTAGGAGCTATTTTGAACAATTAGATTATTTTTTTGGCTCAATTATTATAGTACACAGGACAGCGGAAGACAGCATCGCCGAGACAGGAACCCATCTTAACCAATGAGATGCCGGAGTCAAGGTATCAGCATCTAGAGACGAGCGAAGGACTATCACCAAACTACGATCGAGACATAGAGGTGCCCGCCTGGAATTTTTGTCTCCACACTTTTCTATTTGCTCAAGGCCCACTGATCCTGAGAAACATAAGAATGGATGACTGACAGTGAAGTGAATGAGGACGTATTGTTCAGCCATGTTAAGAAAATTGATCAGCATTCCGTATTTCCTCATTTGACTAACCAATAGGTTACTATTATTCATGTGAGATTTATTCTTTGTATCGACTCGCCTCGAGGAATCTATCGTTTCTACCTTACTAGTCCTGCCTCATCTCTACATCATCGCCAAAACCCGAAAGGAATAGACCGGAGAATCTTTAGTGTAATCTGGTTGTTTCATGTAATCGATCAAGTCATCTACTTGCCAGCTAACCAATCACATTCTTTCTTCCATTTGTCCCCAGCTAATTTCCACTCCCGTCGAGAGAGACTGCGAGCGGTAACCTCGCAATCAATCTTGATATCTTTCACCAATTCCTCTAGATTGCTGTAATCTCGTTCTTCTCGAATGAATCCTAGCAGACTAACTCGCATGGGGCTATCGTAAAAGTCCTTATCAAAACCATTTAGCACATGCACTTCAGCACTCCGCACTTGGTTCTTGTAGAAGGGATTGTAACCAATACTCATGACCATAGGGTAGAGACGCCATCCTTCTTGTTGACTTAGCTCCGAGAGGAAGAAGCCAGGTTTGGGCGGTTGAAAGTCTGGCGCAAGGATCCGCGATGAAGGTAAGCGAGAAGGGAAATCGAGGGCCGGATGGCCGAGCGGGAAACGAATGCTACACCAGCCAAAATAAACACCTGACTTCGCAGTAGCTATCCATGTCGTTGTCGTCTTAGAGTCGGTCGGAAGATTCGCTGTCGGGATGCCGAGCTGACACGCATGTCAGCCTGCCTGTCATGATAACACAGAAAGCTAGCTGATGTGGTAGAGTAAGGAGGGAGTATTGGGCTTGTTCGAAAAGGCTTGGGTCGTTCATGAATTTTAATGAGTTGAAGGAATGACATTGCAAACCTCTTTGCTACCTCTACCGAATCCAGTGACGACGACTCCATCAAGACGTAGAGGATACGGTGCTTGAGGACCACTATCATCACCAATAATCTGCGGCCGTTGCTGAGTGGAAAGAGCTTCCGACTTGATCGAGGCTTCGACGTTGGAGTTTGAAGTTTCCGCCATATATATTTAGGACTGGGACCATTAAAATGTCGGTAATAGTACTGAGAGCCTATATTATCTAGAAGGAAATGTACAGACTGCTTACTGGGCTGCAAGACCGCACAAGTTCTCTTTGTGTTCTTGTCCTGATCGGTTTACTCAAGCTTGTGGCTGAGATCAATGGGTAATGTTGGTGAGATCAGAACCAATCTAGGCTATACCGATGTAGTGGTAGCGGTGGTCGCTAAACGCCGCCTGAATAATATTGGGAAAATCCTTTCTAAATCTAGTGATCTCAGATCCCGAGGTGCTAAGGCTACAACAACCTTCGCCTCGTCGGGCAACACCGGCACATACTTTTGGCCTAGAGTGAGGAGAACGAAGGCTGAACACCTGCCAGCAGTGTCCTCTACGAACAAGAGATTGAAAAGTTCTCCTCTAGCCGAGAGTCAGACATGAATAAGGTTGAACTTGAGAGTTTTGGTCAAGATGGCGATCGGGAGGACTGATAAATAAATTATTCATTATCCTGATTTGGTGCCATGAGGCCCATGCAGGTATTTATTGGAAGATTTGTACTTTAAGGAGGACGACTCAATTTGACGTTTAGAACACTCCCACTTAGATTTTATTTGCAGATACCACTCGAGGTTAACGCTTGCGGCGCACAACCTCTTCCGTGCATACTCACCACAGGGTAAAGCGTGAAAAGTCTATGGTTATCCGAGTGTGCTTTCATCATCCCACAAATACAATATAACCGCGCGAGAGTGTGGTGCGTTGTTTTTACTGAATTCGAACCAGCTTTCTTCGCTCTCTAATAGATTAGGTGTTCAAGCTACCCAGTATCTACTAGGAAGAACGGCCCGAATGGTGTGCCACTACACCATCCAACCCGCGAGAGTGACAGAGGCAAGTGTTAGTGGACAATCCTAACTGCATAGATTTCACCAGCATACATCCCAACAATTCCAAACTTTTACAAATCAAAAACGAAATGCAGACAGGATCAAACCTGTCTGAATTTCGTGTTAAAACAATCGACCACGTCTGTTGTTGTTGTGCTGGTGACGGCTAGGATTACAATGCACAAGGGTAATGATCACTATTGGTGAAGGAAGAACTTTCTAGGTGGCTCCATGATGAGTAGAGGAACAATGGAGCACTGTATAGACAGTGTCTCTCGATAATACTACCAGATGGAGGATACTAGATTATTCAGTGATACTGTTTTGGGTAAATAAGGCGAGAGTCTAGCTACCTCAGATGTGTATATAATTAGCGCTTTCTACCACCCACATCTTCATAGTTCTGAGTATCAAACATATCAGCAGTTCACATTGATTCATCGACAATAATCCGTAAATATTCTGCCAATTAACCTCCGTAAGCTCTTACCTTTACAACATTTATCTCTAAATTTTCGGCAAGACATTTATTATCTAAGCTTTTTCTGAGATCCTCTCCAGAATCCAAAAGTCATACTTGCGAGCTGATATACTAGTGGAAATTCATCCCGCAGCAAATCTTGCTTGCCAAAGAGGTATTTTAGAAGTAGCGATCTTGTCTTGGCATTATAGAGGAGGAGAGGTATGTTTATTGTACTACTTGAGACTTAGACTATCTGGCACATTGGGCTCCAACCTGACACAGGCCACATCTTATACAGTGCTCCTTGCCTCTTTTGTTACTTGAAAGGTCATTGATATATTGCCCGTGATGAATAGCCATTCAGCTCAGTGTTTACCCGTGGAATCCGGCCACCTTTTCCACGGAACCTTCTACCCAAAAAAAAAAAAAAAAAAAAAAAAAAAAAAAAAAAAGGTAGCAGTGGAAACTGCGTGCGCGGGAAAAAGTCTCAAAAAACCTGCAGCCCTAGCCAGGCGAGGCCTAGACACCGGAGCCACATTACGTGCGTATATTCATCTATATCTCCCTAATTTGTAACATTCGAGGCTGAGTTGATCCAATCCACTATCTCCGTATTGGGTGCTGGGTACTCTTCGGAAACTCATCAGATGGCTTCTCCTCCATGATCAAGGGTTAATGATGAGAAGGGCTTTGAACCTACCATCTGATCTGATCGTGGTTAGCTTCATGATCATGGTGATAGGGGAATGTGTTGAGATATGAAGACGATACAGACCGCGAAAGCGATTGGGAATCCTCGTCGGATTGAGGAATTTGTTACTCAATCTCGGCTTTGCAGATTCTACAGTGAGAGCTGAGGTTTCGTAGGGGACGCCACTGACAGGTGTTGAGAATAGTCCCTGTTAGAATAAATGACAACTATGAGGGACTTTATCATGTGTAAACCTAATTTCTAAGGCCAACTTGTAGACTGGTTCAGGTAGCATTTTACTTACGTGTTTGTTAGACAGAATACATAGAAATTTTTACAAAAACAATCTGTTGCCAGAACATTTGTGCTAGCACATTAAATCTCCAAGCCGCTGTTATACCGACAGTCCCCCTTATACACTTGTGTGTACCTCGGGAAATTCACCCCCTGCTTTTCTAGCCTACCTCCAACTCCTTCCCGAAGGTCGCGCTGTAATGTCAGAAAAGTCTTGACAGAGCGCGATTGCTGTATAGTAGCTTAGCCCAACTTCTTTTGTGCCGTACAGGGCGCTGGGGAGTGCCGTTGACTCATCGACAAAAGAAGCCCTCCTGGTTAATCAGCTGAAATTTTGGTCTTGGTGCCCACATAAAAACCAAAGTTGAAAACTTGTTAAAAATGTCATTCTTAGCATGGTCTTTAGAGACCTCATCCACCTCTCGCTCCACATCTCAGCCGCCTCTCCTTCCTCAAGATGTATAATCCCATGAAAGCAACAGTCCCCCATAAGTCAAGACCCCAACTTTGTATTCTTCGGCTTTATTTCCTCCTTCCAGATAGAAATAGCGTCGTAAATAAGTAATGAGAGATGGCTGGAAATTAATGGGGCAAGCTCCTGTTTGCAATTGGAGCAGCTTCTTTATTGGTCATTGAGGCGAGATGATGCGTGCTTAGAAAGAGGCTGAGGACTCAGATGAGTATGGTAAGAAAGGCATTGTCGAGAAGTCGTCAAATGGAGATATGTTTAAGTTTGCTTTCGACTTTGGTTCGGATGCCATTCTTCTTGGCAATCTCAGGTATGTAGAGCATATTGAGCGATTACACCGGCACCACTGGAAGGTGAAGAATTCATCCTTTCCGGCTACAATCCTCTACAACTACGAGAGTCTGACTTTAATATCTCTCTCTTTGGTTCCTTGTCACCCCCAACAAGTACCTGAGGCTATTCTTTAACCCACTTCAATGCCCCCAGGTACGCAATTAGTAAGTTCCGCATTCCTGTTGTTGATCTACATCTTGCCCATGAACTGTACCCCAGTACAATAGACTTCCGTTTGCTTACAAATTGTAATTTTGATTTGATTTCATTTAGCCCGTTCAGGTACCCTATGGGCCCATGCAGGAATATCTAGCTATAATATTTACACAGGAGGAAACCATATTTGGTAAAAACCCCCCACAACTGTCTGTCTCGTGTCTATATGATTTCCGATGTTTCCTACAGGAAGTGCGCTTACACTGTGCGTCCAGTGTGAATATCGTCCTATCCTTTTCCCGATCGCTCAATCCTTTCGCTGACTGCTGTCTCAACTTCTTCTGCAAGCCGGAACTGTTCAAGCCAGCCGTTTGTAAGTATCCAATCTGTAATTCTCTTCATGTCTTCCGGGCTGTTCATCATAGCTTCGAAAGACCTATCTTTTGCCCGTTGCAGCACCTCTCCTCTTCCCTTAGCCCACTGAGGACAAGCCATGACCATATGTTTCACGTTTTGTGACGGATATCCACACTGGCACTTTGGATTTGCCACTCCAGGGACCTTTCTTCTATAAAGATAAGAGTTGAGGCCGATATGCTCACTTCTTATTTGTATTGCAATACTACTTTGGGCCCTGCTCAGGTTTCGGTGAATGTTAGAGGGTGTGTTTCTGTAGGTGATTCTTTTTCTACCTGTTTTCTTGTCGGTGCTTATACTTGCTGCTGTCCAAAGTTCTGGGTCTGCTGACGCCTGATGAGAAGATAGTCGTTCTTCCTTAAAAGTATTCCATGCGGTTTCCCAGTCCTGGAACGCTCCTATCTTGCCCGCTTCTTTTTGTCTACGCCTCACTTTTTCGTTCCCGCAGATTTTATTCCACTCGCTATACAAATTGTAATTAACATCCAGTAAAAATATGCCGCTCTACCTCAAAGTGTATAGTAATTTAATAAGTTATTCTGCGAATTAACGGAAGCGTAAGGCTTATCATAATCTATTGATTTGGTATACATTAGAATGACTGATTCTATTTGCTGGCCTGACTAATAAAGATATAAGTGGAAGGTCCTGGTGACTCTTGTTGTAATTCTAACAGTCCTGCACCTGTTACAATAGTCATGCACTATCTCGTTTTTGTTTCCGTTATTCGTATCATTTAATACAGCACCACATTTATTTTCTGTAATATTAATTAGTCTTGGCGCTTAACACAAGATATGTTGGAAATCATGGTATATGCATGATTCTGTCTTACACTCAGCTAGCTTGGGGGTCTACTGGTGGTCAAGACATACCATCACCATGATAATGTCGCCATACTGGGACATGGGCGCATATCCTGGCTTATTTCTAAATTCGTCTCAGTAGGACTAAATCCTGTATATATATGTAGTGTTCTTCTCCTTCAGAAATCCTCAGTTTATTACATTTGCTGAATATCTCTGAAGTTCAACTCATACCCTCTTCGTGTCACTCTACCAAGCTTCACCCTAAAGCTCTATTCAACTAGTTTGTTTTTCAGCAGATTCCTTCGCTTATCTATACCATTTCAGCATTCCTCTACGATCCGTAACCTCACAATAATTCTAACACAATGTGATATGGCTATATTACCACACAACACTTGTACATGTTGGTTTTAGGATCAGAATTGACTGCGTTTTGCTGTAGCATTGCAGTCGATGAGTTGCAAAAACTTTGATATTGGGTTAGGGATCCGTTGTATTATTCATCGACTGTGATGATGAATCGGAAGTTGATGTAGGATTCTAGTGCCGCAATGTATGGAATAGCCGCTATTTCCTTGATTGCGCGGTATTTTGGGAAATCTAACATGCTGTCATGTGTTCATGGTTTTATGGCTAGATATCTACTGGCAGCCATTTCGTGATGGTATCCTTTGCCTCAAACTTGGCCATCTTCCATGCCTGCACCATCTCTCTGTACGCCTTTTCTTTTACGCGTACGAGATTTCGAAGTAAGACTCTAGCTGTGTTGGTAGTAAAAGCCTGGTGGCTGGAATTATATCCTCGAGGTCTTGAAACACATGTCCAATGACACTGCCCCTTGATAGTTTTGACAGTAGGCTTTCATTCTATCTGCTGAGCGAAATTCTTGATTCCAATATCGCTTTTTTCTCGCTAGACGATTTCTCTTGAATACTTCCTGATCAATTAGAAGTGCCCGGGCTCATAGTATTACGGCAAGATTTACGAAGGGTAGAGCTCGTCGTCTTTGAAACTGATGAGTGAGTATCGAGGTTCATGAAGGTGGTTAGGAAACTTATGAGGATATAGAATTTAGTAATGATTGTAGCAATAGGAATCACGAGAAGAGGAAGTGGCAGGAAGGCAGCTCTAATGTAGAGATGAAAGAGGTAGATTGGCTATGGGGAGAGAGTATCTAGAGGCGGACTGGGACTATATGCTAACGTGCATGTACCACATGTACTCACGCTATTGTACCTAGGACCAGGTTGAGGCGAGGCCGTAATTACAGGATACCTAAAAGTGTTATAATCGAAAAAAAGGAGAATAATACAAATTGAGAAGCTGAAGATCTTAGTAAAAAATTTCTTCCACTTCTTGTAATCAGAAAATTTCATTAATGCAATCTCCGGCTCGTCTCTGAACCATCCATCGCGTGAGGCTATCTGAGTTAAATCGTTAGTCTCATTAGATAATTAATCTGGGAAATAAAATGTGAGTGTATCGGTTCCGGTATATAAAGCTTGGGCGTTTGTATGTCAAAAGGTAAGTTTGTGAGACTGATATTTATACCTGCTTTATCCGGATTCCGCGCGAGCAGAAGTGGTAATCTTTTGACGAGCAATCTACTCTTTCGCAACGAGATTATTTCCTTACTTCTCTTAGCAGATCTAGCTGAGCATGGGGTTTCTACTTGGCACGCTATCGATCCACATTTGCTATACCAGCAGCATTTATTCCAGCTGTAATCGTATCCCCAGATAAGCCAGTCGGGCTTATACTTCCCTGAGAGTCTCTATTGCCGTTGGTTGCATAATTTACCAGTTCTGTATCAGTATAGCTACTCCTTTGGCGGATTTGAACGGGTTGGTTCTGGCCCACCCAGTTTTCTACCATTTCCAATGGTTAAGCTACCTGATTTACTGCTCTTATCCAGGCATTAAAATCGTTGCTGGATAAGTTAGTGTTTCCCGCTAGAGCTAGTATCAAATCCTTGTTCAGCGCGTTCCAGAGCATCGATATCTTGTTGGTATCATCCCAAATATTTCCTCGTGCCTCTGTCAATTCGTTCGTCCAAGCTGCAAAAAATCTGGCCAACGCTGGACCTCAGACATTCTCATACCATGCAATTCCCTGCCTGCCCTTACAGCTCTTAAGGGATCAAGGTATAATTTGTCTAAGAGCTCAATGAAGTCTTCCGGTTTCGGAGTTCCGTGAACTCCTTCTACCTCGTAGAATGAGCCAGCTTTCTTTAACGCAAAGCCTTTGCGCGCGGTGTACATTAAAACGAATGCCCTTCAATCATCGCAACTGAAGGCGTACCAGTCCATCCTAAAAATATCTAGGACCACTGTTCTTCACCACGAATGATTGACCCTTTTACCATCAAACTCTGGTATTTTGGTCGGGTTTAGTCCCAGCTCCTTTGTAGGTGAGCCTTACTAAATGATAACCCGCTCGACTTGAAATGATTGGTGTTGGGACAAGTTAGAAGCCTTAAGTTCGTTCATCTGTTTTTGCAAGTCAATCAATTCTTGCTTTCATGACGCGTGTGACATGTTGAAATCAATAAATTGTCTTAAATAACTGAATTTACCGAATTTTCTAAACGACTAGACTTTTTGATGATGGGAGTTAATAAATGTGTACCGGTTCCGATATATAAAACTTACCTTTCGACATACAAACGCCCAAGCTTTGTATACCGGAACCGTTACAATAAGCGCTTCCTATATCCTAAGTCTTTATCGTTCCTGAAAGCCTGTATTACTTTTTTATGCAAGAATACCTTAATTATGCACAAGATAACAACTTTCCGGAAGTCGATCTTAGAGATTATCTTATAATTTATCTCTATATTTAATCTTGGGTGTCCGGATATCACGTTTGATATGTTTGTCTAGGGCTAGACTATTGAGGCTATGACACATAACCTTTTATGATTATGAGGTTATGCGTAAAGTGTTGGAGTCTAGACCTTAGTGATATGTTATATTAAGAAAGTGGGAAGTTTAAGAAATAGGTCTGTACTAAGTCCCTAGAAAGATACTTGTAATACAAAGATCTCTGTCTATAATTATGGTTATGCGCCGTCACAAAACTCTCGGTATGCATCTCGGCTAACTTTCTACTAGATTTGGCTACCACACTCAACTGAGTTTATGTGATAGCTTATGACTCATATTTCACTAATCGGTATTGTACATCACAATAGTTTTTGAAGTCTTTGAAGAGAAAGGCTCCTGGTTCTTAGTCGACAACTTGGGCACTTTTATCGGGACAAGGATTTGGCCAATTTCTGATTTTGAGTCTATAAACTCATCTTCTGAGTCTACTAGAGTTTATTTAGCTGGAGATTGTTGTCTCTCAGCAACGACCGCCATAATTGCTTCCAAATTTAAAGTTGGAGGTGACGACTTAAGCTTCATCTGCTCGGGGCGCGTTTGATAACGTTCGCGGGAGACTGCACATAATTGGCTTTTAACGATTTTGTGATATTTAATACGCTTTATCTGTAATTATTGGAGACATACGAATTTTTGTGTAGTGATCTATTGATATTACGTGGTGTTAGAATTGCTCAGACCTTTCACTTATATCTCTGCTAGTCAGGCTGGGGTATAGAGATAATCAATCGAATATATACCCATTCAATTCCAATACTCAATATATCATCTAAGCATCGAAGCAGGGTCAAGAAAGTCTCAAGATGAAATCTTGATGGCAAACTTTTGCTGTTGTTGAAGTGGCAGATTCAGAGTACGTGAAATCCGTCTTTAACTAAGTTTTAAATCTTGTAAGAAAGAAAAATATGCAGGCGAGAGTAGTTTTTTACTTTGCAGATTAGCATGTTGTTGAAACTCTGATATTAAAAAATTTTCTTCTTTATGTTTGTACAAGGCATCGATAGTGGGAAATAAATTTCTCAACTAGCCTCAAGACTGAGTTCATTTTATTGTAAATAGTTAAGGCGCATTTTATTAATCCTTAAATAGTTGTTTATGTTCCGTCTAACGCGTCCTTATCATAGGCAAGAGTTAAATTGTTCTAGTAGAATTTTGGTCGAAGGTCAGTTGTTTTCCGTTATCAATGGTCCTAAATTTCTCTAGTTTAAATATTTAACTAGAATTACAGTCCAGAAACTTAAGTTGCAGAAATATAATTCAAAAAATCCAACAATAGTACGTTTTCAATGGAAACATTGGATATTTACTAATATCTGAGACCAGAAAAGTTGATAATAATAGTCCAAGTGAACTTAGCGTTCTGTTCTGAATTTTTTGGATCTGGTCTCTTCGACTAGTTCAAAGCTAGTGATGTTGTTATGACAGGGCCAATCTCTGTGATATTAAAGGTAGTTAGAATGTGTTTGCTACTGCAGAAGTGGTGGCTAATTAAGATGTATATATATCTGTGGACGCCGCCGAAGTGTCAACATTATCAATATCCACTTGTGTGCCTAAGACATAAGCCATACTTGAGGCCTACCGGAGTAAGTTCTCCGTCAAGAGAAATAGTCTTTATTTATCGGAATGATTTATCTGGCCGGTACTGGTGGTTCTTGCATTGCGTTGAATTATTCTTTTGATTTTTGTATACTGAAATTCTGATAATATATTGTCCAAATGTAACATAGACAATAATTCTTAAGCATCAATGTGAGATACATGAAATATGGTGAGCATCGGTTTCTTCTGCAAGATAGTTCAAACTACTTTTAAGAGTACTCTTAAAGCTATGAGTGGACTGATAGACTTATGATGTATAACCTTTGACAGACCAAAAACAGTATATATATATATATATATATATATATATATTATTTTGCCAATTTGATCTCTTTTATCCCGAAAGATACTTATTGAGACTCATTATATTTTGCTAATGATGAGTCAAATGTCGTAGATACTTTAAAGTTCTCATTAAGGAACTCAAGAGACTTCATAGATGCCTGTTTCAAAAAAGCTCCGCATTTTGGTCGGTGGCTCAAACTCAAAGTAGCACTTACATGGTGGATTGATGTGGCATGTTAGTTCAGTTAGGCTCTAAGCAAATGTGTACCGAAGATGCAAGTAGACTGAGGTAATTGAAGAAAAAGATGGATATTCGTGTTTTTGTATGTTGGGATTTTGGTTTCTTTGAGAAAGTTCGATTCAAATTTGAAGAACAAGTAACCCTATTGAAAAGTTTGGAGGTAAGATCTCGACATTTTGTCGGAAGGGTGAAGTAGGCCATGTAATAATTTCATATTCAGCATTATATTGTGGTACCTGAAGCTTGTAATCCAATAGTCAAAATTGGGTAAAAACCTACGATTAGGCCAGGAGTTGGATTACTATTTATCATTTGAGTAAGTAGAATTCAGCTTCTTACGCCAGTATATCTTGGTGTCAGAGAAGTCGTATCTTATTTGTGGAAAGTCAATTGCTTCACATTCCTCAACCATATTATCTAATAATAAAGCAGTTTCGATCATATCAAGAGAGCTAAATTAGTTAGTGAACTGTATGTAGATTTTTTAGAGGTTGTCTTAATACTTTTCCATTCGTTTGAAATTATCCATCTTGGTCCCGATTATGACGGCGGGTGCCTTATTCCTACTTGCTATAGATTTATAGATTTCTATATAGCAATGCACTGCGAAGACTAAGCTGCTCTCACACACAAAATCAAAAGCTTGTGGATCTTTGACTACTCTCCATCCACGCGTTGAAAGAAAAGTTTCATCTGTTTCTGTATATTGCGGATCCTGCACTACCACTGGTATTTCTGGTCCTAATATCTCCAGAATAGTTTGTACGGCAGCTAGTTGAGTACCACTACTTCTTCGTGCATCTCTTCGTGCGCTCAAAAGGCTTCCTAGTCCAAGTACAACGATATTACTGACTTTTTTCATACCACATGATCCCTTTCTTTTTAACAATAGTATTTGTAGTTTCTCGCATGCAGAACTCTCCTCCCACTCCTTTTTCCAATGGCAAAATTCTTGATGAAGGTTTTCAAGCGTTCGATCCAGATAAGGCACACCATTTATCTCAAAATCGCCTGCATGGGTATTGGATCTAACGACTCTTCTATCCTTAGAGTATCCAGTTCCTCGCGGTTTTCGGACCACATGAGTCCAACCTTCGGTATCCACGACTTGTTTTCTCTTCATAGTTGCCATTATTATCGGTTGAGGTATGGAGATGTATATTCTGCTTTGAGCTATATTCCGCCGCACCATATCATAGGAAGTGGACAGCAATCTAGTGCACAAAAACGCTTTTGTTAATCGTATTTCCCTTAATAAAAGTACCTGAGATTTGAAGTAAAAGATGATGCATTAATTTTGCTGTAGCTTGTTGGTGGTGCAGCGGGCTGCTATATGTTAGTACGTTGCGCCACAACAAAAATTATCATTCAGGAACGAAGCAGATGTAAGCGAGAAAGTAGTTGGAAAGTTCCACCAACTATTTTTCTCGCTGCAAGACATATTTGAAGAATCAAAAAACGCGTGGCACAGAAGAGTGAACACTTTTAAGGGCCGATACGCCTGTCAGCAGCACATGCAAAGAAGGTAAATGAGGGCCGTAAATGTGTCCAAACATCAAAAATCAACTGTACAATAGCCATACCAAATATAATCCCTACCTTTCAGTAACTAAGCCTTAGAAGATTCTAAAATCTGGATTGCCAAAAATATCTTAAAAATTGCTAAGTCGTATAGATTGTACATAAACTGAATAACGCCAATAAATATCTATTCACCCTCAGGAAAGACCCGGAGGAATATCGCTTTGTAATCTAGTAGTGAGCATGTAGGCTTTTGCTCTTATTCTCACCAACAAACAGTCGCTAGAGAGATGAACAAGAAATTAGGATGAATATTCAATATAGAGTGTCAACCATATTGTATTAACTTATGCAAAATGGCCAACAGGCAGGGGAAGCTGACGAGGAAAGCCATTTTGCAGTCATTGGGGATAATTTGAAACCCTTAGAAATAATATTAAGAACATTAAAAGTTATTTAAAAGATTATGGCACCTACAACAATTTTCATAGACTGACAAATAAAGAATTGATTAGTAAAGAATACTTACGTTACTGGATCAAGATTGGACTAAAATGAGATCTACATTTGGGGAAATTGTCATTACACTTCATGAAAATAAATGGATGAGAATAGAATAGAATTAAATTTAAGTCCCTACTGAGTTCATGACTATGAAGGCTGGCAGAGACGAATTCTTCACCTTCCAGTGGTGCCGGTGTAATCGCTCAGTATGCCCTGCATATCTGGGATAGCCAAGAAGAATCGCATCCGAACCGAAGTCGAAAGCAACCTCAAGCTTATCTAAAGTCGACGACTTCTCGTCAATGTCGGACCTATCATTCTCACGCGATTCCTTCACATCACCTCGAATACCGATAATGGCGTTACTCCAATTATAATCGGGCATTTGCCTTATCAAAAACCGGCCATCTCCCACTACAAGTTTACGATGCTATCTATACCCGCGAGGAGGAAATTAAGTCATAATCTACAAAGCTCGGGTCTTGGTCTATGAGGGACCGTTGATCTAATGGGTCTTTACATCTTGAGGGATGACAGGCAGCTGGGAAGTGGGATGAACGAGTGAAGAGGTCACAAATTGGCATTCTGGGACTGAAATTTCAGCACAAACTTCGGGTAAGAGGTGAACGGAGGCTACAAAAGTTGAGTTTAGTTATATTCAGGTACATACAAGTCTGCAGCGCCTAGCTGGCTAGCTTCTTCAATGGTTTTAAAATGGTAGCTAAGTCTTCAGGTGTAGTTCTGATTTCGCTATTAGGAGAGCCCCGTATCAGTCGTTCATTCGATTTTTCCCGGCTGTCAAACACCCGCAAATGGCCATCGTTTCGCTAGCTTACGAGGGAAGATAATGTAAGGCAAAGGAATGCTCTAAGTGTATAATTGATTGAGGACTTGTGAAGGGTGGTACTCTTTGAAAGGACCTGTTATTATCCCAGGCTGTGTAAGGTGCTGTTAGAAAGTTAGGTCTTGTAGGATTAGAATCCGACTTATCCCATTCCACATGTAAAGATTGTTAACGTGACCTCATTGTATAGTCCAGCCAAGAGCGACTTACATAAGACTTAGCAGATACTCAATCATGTAGCTTGTGTAGTTCTTTCGTTATACAGAATATACCATTTTATTTTTGGATTCACCTCTGCGAACAAGCTATCGTGATTAGTCCTTTTACAGGTACCAAGGGCTTCATAGGCAAGACTCATAAATTATAGTAAATGGTAAAATTATGCAAGCTCATATTAACTCATGACACAATTGATTTTAAGAAAAATACGTGGGATACGGTATTACGTCGTAAATGTTGACTAGAGAACCCCACTACTACTGATGAAATCTATGTAGTGATAGGAAGGTCATGTGGCCTGACTACCTTAGTTTATATGAGTAGGTGAAGTACTACCCCTAGACAACTGTTAGTTGTGTTAACTAGTGGGAGCTTGAGGATCAAATAATGTCGGTACGAAACACGTGATTATATCAGACACTCTATGGGCATTGCTGTAGAGCAAATTGGACATGTGTATAACCAGGTGCATCAAATCTTTATGTAGACTGTGTTTATTTTTTTTAAGTCATTCAATGTCGGTTCATAGAGCTCCACTAAAATATATTTGTCACCATGGGGGATCACATGATGAGCTTGCCATGAACACGCTAGCTAGGTTCCACTTTAGTTATGAGTCGGGACTCTCTCTCCCTGGCGAGACAGACAGACAGAATACTATTAACTCTTTCTCAACCTTTACGATCGATCGTGAGACCACACCGTAGTAATTCCAACATTTAATGTGTATTCAGCTATCTAGCTATGACACATGACCGGTGCCATGTATACATGTTGGATAGCTCTTTTGACGTTAGAGACACTTATACTCTGGATTTCATTCGCAAATACCACTATCAGGTATGTTCGCTTACACAAACAGTCGACCCTCCTCCGTAAGTACCCACCAAAGGGAATTTCAAAACCTTTGGTTATCCAAGCATACCTTCGTCTTCCATGTATACCAGCGCCGTGAGAAATGTGGTTGTGTTTTGCTGGATTTGAACCAGCGATCTACTGTCTCAAGTGGGATAAGTGTCCAAGCTATGCAGACTCTACTTGGCAGACCGGCCAAGACAATGTACCACAGCACCATCCAACCATGGCCGTATTTATAGTGTCGCCTGCACTCTCGGAACCGATACCTTAGCACGCACAAAGCTCAATTTGTTAAGACTCCCTGCCAAAATTCGAAATTTCACGCCCATCGAGGTTATATCCTTCTTTTGCATCATTTTTTAAACTTATCCTGATTCCTCTCACGTCCATCCCAAATAACCTTCTCCTAGTTTCGTGCGGCACGCTTTGCTTCCTCCTTCGGTTGTAAATATCAGCGTGGGTGTGAATTGGTGACGAGCTGAGACCAGAGAAGGTCGAAGAGAGGTGTGGTCATTTGGATGAGGATGTACTTGGTCGTACTTGTAGACTTGATGAGGCTTAGGTAGGAGTCAAACTATTTGAGAGTGAAAGATTGATATGGTGGAGTAATTTGAATCATTTCCTCGTGCGCCAACTTGTTCGGTAATGCAAAATATTAATGAACTTGGCTCTGAGAGAGTATTTCACACCCAGGTTCATAGAGGACACCGCATACAGGTGTTCAGTCTTGCCCTCCGGGCGACTTGATTGCTGGAGGGGGATTATATATCGTATTTTCATTAGTTTGTGAGACAGTTGTTGACTGCTCAAAGACTGGCAGGCCAGCAATGACCCTGGCGGCGCTGCGTATCATGATAGCTTTCAGATCAGCTGCAATAGCTGATGGAATAGTGCGAAGGTGTTGAACAAAGTCGTTTTGCCATGTACTCAGAAAGATAATGCTACCAATTGCGTCATGAGGGGTTCATATATGATGATGGTTAATGTTTGATTGATGTATTGGATGCGAACATGGCCCAGCTAAGCATAGTCATCTGATAATTATCTAAGCCAAGCTACGGTCACATGGTGACGCCTTTGCACTCCTACGGCATGTATCTTTTTTTTCTTAATTCATAATATACATGCATGTATGACAAGGCATAAGATGGTATTTTCTAGATTCCACAGAACATGTTGGGCTCTTCAGGACGCCAGCACATCGCGTAGCTTTCTCCTAGGCTCAACCAACCGACAGGTGCTTTCTCAAAGCACAAGCTGCACGTAGGCGCGACACCAGATAATTAAAAAAAAATCATATCTACTCTCCAAGCTTAGATCGATTGGGACGGGTAGCATTTAGAGAAGCCCTACCGACTTATAGTCTGCTCATCATACTATGGGGGTCGTTCTACAACGCAGCAGCGCAGCAGCAATCTGTTCGCTAAATCATGCGGCAAATCGCATCAGTTATGCAGCAGGGATAAGTCTGTTGTACCGCAGGAGCTTCTTAATCTCATGTAAGTTAAGTAAGTGAAAGATGACTCAACGCCTATTGATAGTTTCCACAAGAAGCCTGAGTGTGGTATATCTTTCTACAATGAGGCTCAGCAAATTTTCGCAATGCTATTGGCGTTGGCCCACGGTGCAATAATTCAAGCCCCATGAAGAAAGTTCCCTGTCCAAGTCAGCCTCCGAATAAGCTCTCGTGATTTGTCCTACAAAGTTGCTAACTCCAAAAGGACATAGATTGATTAATAATAACAATCTCTCGTGATGCCTTGCAGACGCGCGCGGGTCTGCTCAAATCGCGTTGCTTAATCTACGTTGATCTACATGTACGTAGTACGTGATAGATAGCGCAATGGCTGAAGTTCAGCTGGTTTAGATCATAGACTAGACTTTAATGAAACGTTGATACCAAGAAAGCTGGTTGGATTTAACGTGCACTATTTTCGATACATTTATTCCTTAATGTCTATTTTCAGACTGTGACTACATCATAACATGAAAGTTGTTTCTGCTAAGATAGCGGGAGTTTGTTTGTCTCGGATAGCTTAGTCTCTTCTGTGCCTCATTTAGAGCCCACTTTCTACAGTACCACTCCTCATAAATCCTCATTCCATTACAGAATTAAAGAATCCTTTCTCCCCTTTATCGGCCCACTATTTCTCGGCGGAATCAAGGCCGTTTGTGGGCGTATAGCAGCAAAGGAGAATCACAAATATCGCAAATATCGCTGTATGTCGGGCTCCTACAATATCAATATCATTAATAAATACAGAGACATGGCCAGCCTTCCTAAAGGTTTCAGAAAGGCTAGATAGGTAGGCGCTATAGAAAAGTGTGTACTCAGGAGAGTTACTCTCTTTTTTCTACTCGAATCATTTCAAGTCTTTCCATCGTTCGCGCCTCGCGTATAATCAGAGGTTTCTTTGAGACACCAGAAAAGTCTTGATAGAGTATGTACTGTAAAGCGGCCTAACCCAAATTGATTGTATGGTCTTGGGTAATGGAGAATTTAGAAGAGTCATCAACCATGCAGGCTCTGCTAGTGAGCTCAGATCTCGACCCTGGTACTTTAGACACACATGCCAGAGAGCGAGGCTCGTCGGCTAGATTTCTTATAGTTTTCTAGCTATAAAAAACAATCAGTGCTATATGTTCATTTACCATGAGTCTTTTGGCGTCAGAGATATTTATGATCCGAATTTTATCGAAGAAAATTGCCGAAAGTTGGAGCAAAAACAACAAATCTACGAGCTGTGGGCAAGAATACACAGTGTTAGATTAGCGCCTGAAAAGTGTCAGCTGATAAATTCCTCCAGTGCCAGAAAACGACATAACCTCAAAGCGACGATTAAAATCCAAGGCCATACCATAATCCAATAGCCTTCCCTAAGAGTTCTTGGAATCTACTTTGATCCTAAGCTGAGATGGTGAGCTCACATCAAGAGCCTTCAACTGAAGGTAGAGATACAGGTTTGGGGTCTCAGTAGGCTAGTCCAATCAACGTGAGGAGCCAAATTTCACAAGTCTATGATACTATACAGCACTATTATGAGACCGGCACAAACATACGGGTCACCTATTTGGGCCGAGGTCGGGCCGGGAAGAAAAATACTAGAGAGGATAGTTAGACCTCTTTGAAGCATACAGAGGAATTCCCTGAAAATTGTGATCGGAGCATACAAGTCCACCAGTACGAGATTGCTGGAACACGAAACGGCCACCCTTCCGATTGAAATATTCTTGAAGCAACAAAGGCTCCAATATTTAGCTCGCTCAAAGGACTAATCTATCCAGAAGACAATCTAGTCTGCCTGTATTAAAATCAAGTTGCCCAGAAAATGGACAAAAGATATACGAACAACTAAGAGGAGGAAAGGTCTTGTCAACTAGACAGGAATGTGCCGTGAACCAAAAACCAAAAAGACACATACAGAGATAGTGAAAGTTATGACATACCAAGATTAGGCAAAATCCTGGGCCAAGCAGAAACGAACTCGGAAGCAACGGCAGATTCCGAAATTTGGAGAGCGGCCAAATTTTACCAAAGTAGAGTATCTAGACGGCAAGAACTGAGATTTCAAGACTCACCATTCTTTCTATACTCAAACCTGACAAGAGCACAAAGCAGTGTGACAATGTAAGTACGAAGTGAGCACATGGGGCTTTAATCGTTTTTACACAGAAGAAACGTACCCGGAGTATTAAGTCCAGATTGTCCATGCGGCTACCAATCACAGAACCCCAAGCATATGATTATGTCCTGCCTCTGACGATCAAATGATAGAGCTGAGATCTAGAGACAAGCCAAAGATTGATCCTTCGAAGTTATGATAAAAAATCCTAGAGACTTTAAAAGGATAACACAGTGGATCCCAAATCATGGTTGGAAAGAGCAATTCTAGATGACAAAGGCGGTCGAAATGCTGCTTAAGGAAAGGAATAGATCAAGTAGTGCTTGGGGCGGTTAAAGATGATCTGGTTAGTTTACATGGATGGCATTATAGTGTAATTGCGTTTCCTGAAGAAAATATGTGAAAACTAAAGGTAACAAGTAGAAAGGTGTGGGGGTTTTCACCATAAAGGTGTTGTGATATACAATATGGATGGGCGTGTGTAAGCAATGAGACATTACGTGAAATAAACCAAGTGTGGCTAGCAAGGCACTGTGAGGGATTAGCCGAGGCTCGTGCGCAGGGTTTTAGGAACACTTCTCTTACAGGGATAGACTGTGCCGCTTCATCCCTTTATATACATATACATGTACATATAGACTCTAATTAATTTGATCTCCACGCTTTGCTCTACCCTCAGCTCCGCAGACTATTAAGCTCCAGACTCCAAGACGTCGTACATAACCTCACAACTATAACAAAAGGTTTCCTCCCGGGTAAATATTATAGAGTGTAGACACCTGCATGAGCCCATAGGGCGCCAAATCAGGATAATGAAATCAAATTCATATCTGAGTTTTATTCTCAAATTCAAATTACGGTTGGTTAAGCAAACCGCTAATAGTCGTTGAATTCTAGTTCCCTATCACTCTCACTAGAAATCTACAACAGTGACACCCGACCAGATCAGGCTTGTTATTACTCATGACACATGGATTTATCTAGTCTTAGCAATAGATCATCTGAGACTCTATCTATTTATTGAATCGTACTGAATCACTCTGCTTCAGGAATTTGCAATTTTTTTTTCTTTTCTAATATTTTAGCCTTTACGAATCTGGTATTATCTCTATCGTAAAATCTTCAAACAACAGTTAAGCCACGTCTTCTGTCTAAGAGTGAAATGCTTCTGAATTTTGTATTTTGTCTCTGCGTTCCATAACTTCTTCATAAAGTTACAACACATTTCTATTGCAAAGCTACCTACTTAGCAGTGGACTGGAAATTAACGAGATAATTTGGAAGTTAGATTCTAGGTGGGCTTTTTATTCGAAAAGAGGTTTGTCCAAGGTGTGTGGAAAACCTAAGGAATATTGGTTACTACCATGCGATCGCCACGAGTAGATTTTAGTCTGTAATTTCCATTTCGATCCTCGCAAGGTTTATCTCTAATTTGTACCATACTCGAATCTTGGTATACTAGGCTGGATCAAAATATTGAACACAATTTCTAGGCGCCAAACAAACATTTGATTCGTCCATATTTCCTTTGTTCATAGCTTTATCTTTGATCACAGGTTATTTGTTTCTTGTAGGATTGACAAGGGCATCACTCCCACGTTTTTCATTTCCATCATAGTGAAATCGTTGATATTTGCAAAACTTTTTGGAATCAGTACATTATTTTGTGCTATTCAAGGTCTTGTTCCTAATAGGTTTGGGCCTCATGAATAATCAAGCTCAGGCCATTAATACGATGTTGTTCTGATGATTACTGAGTCAAAAAGTAGTGCCACACTTTCATGTAGAAGCTGCCCGCAGACATTAAGATAAGGAGAAAAGCAAAACTTCACTCACTGATGACTAACAGCCATATTTTTGAATACACAAAATCAGGTATAAAATTTGAGCTAAATTCAAAGGCACAGTGTTACGATTTTTGTCCACTGTCCATTTGAACAACAGAATCGGGTGGAAGGAAAAGAGTTTCTCTTAGTGGAGAAATAGTTTGATGAAAGTCCAAGATTAAGCGATGTTCTGTAAAAATAGGCTATGTGGGCCATCTTTTCCAGGTACCTGCGTGCAAGACATGAAATATCATGGAAAATGGAGGGCTAGTTCATTTGAGGTTATCACAATATCAATCTTCTGGCAACTACTTAGTTCTCACTCGAATCATGTACTTTGAAATCAAGGCATTTCAATTAAGAAAGCTCGCAATGCTAACTTTTCATATCTCACCTTGCCTGCAGATCTTAACCTTAAAGTCATTGTAATCCTATTCTTTCATCATCTTCGTGAGCCATATCCTCCCAAACACCGATGGTAGTAGTCCCTTTTCTTGTTGTCAACCATTACTTACCACCCACCCATCTTACACATAAAATTTGATCGACAAATTGGCCGTCATGTGGTACATAAGAGAGCATTATCTGATTTAGAATTAAATTTATTCGCATGCCAATAAGGTTTATCATCGTTGATTTCAGTCGTAAGCTTCCAGAGCTCACATTTGCCATCATTCAAGCTGTATTTGGCTGGAGTAATTCATCCCCCGTTCTTTCGGGAACCATAAGATGGCCATTTCTTACCATGTCGCGCGCTTTCGTATCTAGTTTAGATACACCGGACACACCACTGTCTCCTTTTCGAGGTTCAATGCTATAAACAATGCCAGAAATATCTAATGAGTCATTCCCATAGCCTTGTTGGTCTTCTACAGCTTCTTCATCAGCCTGCTCGTTAACATTCATTAGGGCAGGTGGACGATGTCTCAAGGCTCGTGCTTTTGTGAGAGAAATAGTTTGCTGTTGGTAAGTTGATTTAAGAGGTGCCGAGTCATCACGTTCAATCGTCGCTTTCATAAGTGCCGCCATCCAGAGGCGGCCATGTTGAACATTTGGTACTGCAAAGTAGTGTACCGTTGGTTTTGTAAAAGTGACGGCTCTTTGAAGTCCAGCTCGTGGAGGAACTAGTTTGAATATAAACATCGATTCTGTTCCTTTCATAAAAGAGAACTCAGGCTCTGTGGTTGAATCTTTCGCATTAGCGGATGCATTCATATTAGAGTTAGCTGAGGCACCTGTGAGAGCAGCGTGAATTCCAGTAAGACGATCATTATCAGCAGGTAAAACCCGATGGAAAGAAATATCTATAAGCCCTCTCTCTCCATCGTCATCTTCGCTGTAATAGTACGAAAGACGGCGACCTTTTAGTATAAATAGACGTGGCTTCCAAGATGCCATAAGATTGGTACTCTTCTTCTTCATCCATCCACTGTAATCGGCAAGAGCGATTGCTTCTTTGGGTGTTTTTCGCTCAAGACCTCGAGTGTAGGCACTAGTTTCTTGTTTTGATTTTTTCTTTATCCGTCCGTTGCTATTACTGGTCGACAGCGAGCTCGCACTTTTTATACCAGATGAGTCAAAATCAAAGCTCTGTCCGCCAGATGGCGTACTTGTTCCTGTACCTAGCGATGATTCTGTTGGTGAATATTTAGATGAAGTTGGTAATGTGGCGTCTGGTGGATGGTTTGCACGTAATTTTTCGTGACCGGTAACGGCATCAGATATTGCTCTAAGTCCAAAACGTCCGCTCGAAGCAGACTTCATGGTTGTTAAAAAGTCACCTTTTCCATGTCGAACATCGTTGGATTTTACTGGGCGCACAAAAGATTCACCCTCAAGTTTTGTGACAGCGGGAGAAGTAAGAGATATGGAATCTTTTGGAGGTGTGCCAGTAACTAAAGTCTTTGAAGATTCTGAAGTCATACGACGGCGCCCACTAATACCAGAAAGTCCATAATATTTTGCAGCCGCGGAGTTTGAGGATACTTCTCGAGTAGAATCTACACTTCCAAACCTATTGTGATTTTTCTGGGATTTTTGTGCGGAAGAAACACGCATCCTATGCTCATCTGTGTAGCTTGAGTTTCTTGAGTGTATGGTAGTTTGTATACCCGTTACTTCCCGCTTTCGTGGAAAATTTCTAACAACACCGTCAGTCTCGCCAACAGAAAAGTATCCAGATTCAAGCAGTTCAATCGTTGACGACGCAGTGTGTTTAGAGGTGCGTTGATTCTCCAAGGATGTTCGGGTGCTAGTTCGTGGGGCGGCTTTTACCTCAGACGTTATATAGCGGTTAGGGCGAGCTGGTGTGGCGGAATTTTCCATTTTCCAATCTTTATCGAAGGAAGCTTGTCTATTGTGATAATCAACTCGAGAATTTGCCGAGGATTTATTTGTGACAGGTCCTAAGCTGATAACTTGATTCGAGTCGTGGAGTGAGTTCTGTTGTGAGTGATATTTCTGTCGCGCGTTAGAAACCTTGTCTATTTCCCCCATGGTGTGAGCATCTTCTGAGCTTATTTTACCCGAAAAGTTTGGTGGTATCACAGCGTTGTCGTTTTTCGCAGACTTTTGCTGTGTTGGCGCAGAACTGAAGGACAAATTTTGTCTATCGTGAGTGGTGATTGATTTCGGAAGCGTGGCGAAAGAGCTAGAGCTACGACTCCTGTGACGATTGAAATCTTCAACTAATTCACTGCTACGAACTCCAGTATTCTTAATGATAGAGTTCCTTTTGACTTCGTCCTGAAGAAATTTGATTTTTTGCCATGTCTTTAGTCTTCGGCCTACTGAGCCAAAGTCGAACTCCTTTAAAAAGATAGAGGTTTGATCCATTCCAAGAAGTACGTCGCCAGTGATTTCCTGATCTAAAAGGACCTCGCAGTGTTTGGGTTCAACTCCGATAATGAACAAATGTTCTGAAACCTGCTCTGGGGACCACATAGTTACTTGTTCTCGGGTGTAGATAACTTCATCCTCATCCTCGTCGGTCTCTTCTCCTTGTATATAAGATAGCCTAGGCTCTGCGTGGCTACTGTATTCACTGCCGGAGTCGCTATTTGCCTGCTTATCTCCATTCAAGGCATTTTCCTGTGAAGAATTCAGGTTGGTAATATGCTCATTAATAACGCTTAAAGTCTCGTTCATCACCGGGCTGTCTTGGCCGTGTTTTTGGGGGCTATCGATTATAGAGGTTTTTTGAAGTTTATTAGCACCTTCTGAATAGATAGCCACGGCTGGGCTACAGGACGATACACTAGATACTTGTGTCTCTATATTTGATGTGATGGATAAATCATTAGATTCTGAATTCACTGCGACTTTGACGGAATCAGATGCTGTTGGTCTTCCGGAGGCTGGCGTTGGACTCAAAGATCGTTGTATGTTCTGCGAGTTTGGAGCTTTAGAGGTTAGATCAAGCTTTTGATCTGTCAAGGGCGAGTTCTGTAGACAGAGAAGGGATCCTCGAGGGGCAATACGGGTGTAGACTTTAACATTAGCGGTCTATTACCACGGATGTAGATGATCAAGATCTCACCTTCTGGGAAGAGCCCACTATTTCCTTTATTTAGATGACGGCCTAAATACCATCCATCTCCGAAGTCGTCGTCTCTTTCAATCAACTCAACTCGATCTCCTTTGGCCAAACTTAGCTCATCTGAGCTGCGGGCAGAAAAGTCGTCTGTGGCATGATCGGTCAGTGAATGTTGGCTCAGTTAAATTCGCAGAAGAGGCGCAAAATGAAGAATGACGGCATGTTTTTACAGGTGTATAGTGAAGCTTATTCAACGAAGAAATTGACTCACGAATTACTACCAAGATCTGACCTGGTTCAGGCCTGACTTGAGGCTCGACCGTTCGAGATGCCATTAGAGATAGTTTCTAATTTCTCATACTTCTTGTAGCTTCGAGTTCTTATTAGAGCCCAGTAGCAATACACAAAACATCTGGAGGCAGTAGCTGAACTATAGACAAAGACTACCTGGTAAAACAAGCTGTATTCTTAAGGATTAGACTAAATAATTTGGCGATTCAAAATCTGTGATTTGTAGTATGATTACGAAAGGGTTGGATAGACTGTTGATTATGTTGCGGAGGCGTGTAGACACATGGAACGGGATCAAAGCGAGGATCCACTGACAGTCTCTGTGTAAATTTCGCTCGAGAAAACCGAGTTAGATTTAAATATTGAAGCACCTGTGATTGCTAAGGAGATAGAAGCAGGGAAATAATGGAATATGTTAGTAGGTTCTGCCGTAGGCTTATGGCGCCAGAGGGTGAAATGTGATAGGTAAAGCCGAATTGCATCCCGGGTTGTATGACCATGGTAGTAGGTTGCAAGTTTGGCTTTCCATCATCCGCGCAGGGGCCCACGTGTGGCTAGTCCACTAGACAGCAGCTGTTGAGCTTTGGGCAGGCCGGATCTCTCACACATAGGATCCACATCTGTAGTCTGGCAAGGCTACGAAATACCCAAAATCGGCTATCGGTCAAAGGCCTTTCCTGCGAGAGTCAACTGGAACCTATCCCGAATAACCCGTCAAACGGTTACTGAAGTCCTTCAAGCCACATCAGTTTTAATATTCATAAATACTCGCAGCTCGACTTGCTGGATATTAACTTTCTAAGAGCTTCCCGAGAATACGTAGAATATCCTTAGTAAAAGTCCCGACCACAAATTACACGATTCTTTACACCTACCGTCAGCAAAAAGTCCTCATGTCATAAATCAGGGTACTCAGCTGACCTCTATCGATAGGTGAATTGAGTACCAAGGTTGAAATTCATGATCTAACGAAAGAGGGGTAAAATCAATCGCAGCAATGGGTGGTGCGCGAACGGCTCCAGAGAAACTACATGAGCGCGATATTGATAATTCAAATGCAACCCTTAATACTCTATTTGGGGCTGCTCGACAAAAGTCATGGATGGTGGGTGGAACAACACCAGTGCGCCCAACTCCTAGGACACCTGTGACAAAGAGTACCCTAACTCAAGTGGCTCAGCCCCAAAAAATAATCGCACCATTGCCCACTGAAAGATTAACAAGTTTGACATCTAGTAGACGCCGGCCAGCTGCAATTAAGTGTACTCAAACAGTGACGGTCTCACCAAAAAGCAAGGCTATGGGAAACTCTGGTTTAACAGAAGATGATCAAAGGAATGAAGAAAACTTGCGTATCAATGTTTCACAAAGTTCCAACCTTACATCTAAAGAAGCCCAGAAAGTGGCTCGGAAAATTCAAGAAATGCAGAAACCCCGGGAGGGTTCTCAGCCTCAAGATGCCCAGATATCCCAAGAAGTTCAGCAACCTCAGAAGGCTCAGGATGCACCGCAAATCCCAGAGGTCCAGAGATCCGAAGAGGCTCAGAAAACCCAAAATATTCATCAAGTTAAGCAGCCTTTAGAAATTCAAAGATCCCAAGAAGTTCAACAGCCTCAGGAGGCCCAAAAGTTACTAGAAGTTCAGAGATCAGAAGAGTCCCAGAATACAAAAATAGTTCAGGAAATTCAAGAATACCAGAAATCTGATGAACCCCAGGAACCACAAGAAGTCCAACTACCCCAAGAAATTCAATCCTCTCTAGAGAATCCACAATCTCATGAAGCACAAGGAACTCAGCTTTCTCGAGAAACTCTACAACCCCAAGAAGCTCAGCAACTCGAAGAACAATCCTCTCCAGAACCCCCAAAAATACTACAATCTCAAGAAGCTCCAGGTATTCAGCAACCTCAAGAGATTCCACAACCTCAAGAGATTTCACAGCCTCAAGAAGTCTCACAGTCCGAAGATGTCCATAATATCCAAGAAACTGAGCTATCCCAAGAAATCCAGCAAGCCCAAGAAACCCAGCAAGCCCAAGAAACCCAGCTGACCCAAGAAACCCAGCAAACCCAAGAAACCCAGCAATTCCAAAGCGTCCAGCAACCTGAGGGAGTTCAGCAACTACATGAAAAAAGACCTCAAGAAGTTCAAGAAGCTCAAAAAGTCCAAGAAACTCGTGAAGTTGAGCTATCTCAAGAAACATGGGAAACTGAAGAACTTCCAGAAATCCGATCTGTCCCAAAAAGCACTGATACCCAAAACCTATTAGCTGCAGTGAATTCTACGGATACAATATTTCAAAGATCTGATTCCATACAACCGAGTTCATACTCAAATAGACACACGGATACATCCGCAGAAATAGCTCTGGCTAGAACTGCAGATGTGATGACGCCGATGCTGCAGACGGGAAGAACTACCGAAGTTCAGCCAACTCAGTCACAACCTCTTTCATTGGCAACCTTTCAATCTACAAGAGAATTTATGACAAGCGAATCGCCTCTAACTTCACCACTTTCAACTGATTATTACCCCACAACACAAGGAGAATCATCAAACTTGATCAACTCACCAGGCATTTACAGTGAACAATTATCAATGTCAACTGGGTTTATGGGAGATCAAAATAGCATCCATGCAAGTCATTTATCCCCTACAATTTTCACCACTCCTAATAGTCCGACGCCGCAAATGCAGAGAAATACTCATAATATAGCACCTGTAGTAAATGAGAATAATTCTCAAACACAATCTAACCAAGACTCGATGATTTATTCAATTAAGGGCGGATTGGCGATGATTGAAGCTCAATTGAAATCTGTTGGTGGTTTAGAAAGTCTTAATATTGGCCTCGAACGACCACGGTTTCAATTACTCACTGAGGCATGCAATGCTGATGACTTATTTTACGTTATTCTCCATCAATTATTTGTAATCTGGGATTCTAAGCCTCAAGAAGTGCTAAGTATGCCAAATGTTCCTGATGCAAAAATTCTACAGGCAGGATTTGTGATAGTTGGGAAGCTGATTCATGAAAACGACCAGCTAGCACCGAATCACAGACGATGGTTTTCCGGATTCCCTATCCCACTACTAGACCTCTGGAAGAACTCTGATAGGTGCCGAAGGACTCTGGTCGATGTTTTTATCTGCATCGAAAAACTAACTAATCATTGGTACAACTCCATGTATGATTGCAAGACCCGTGGCTGCCCATTTCTTGTAGACGAACTCGTGAGTAAGCTTGGAATTCTATCTCCTATATTTCAAGGTGTTCTTTTCACTGCCACACGTCGCAACATGGGAATTCAGGGCGAAGATGCTATAAAGGCTATGGAGCAAGTATTTAAAAGGGACCAAACTGAACATCAAAACTTAATGGCTCGTTTATCTACCACAAACCCACCAACAGTAAAAGAAGTGCATGATAGAAATAACGCATTAATAATAACTTACCAAAAATTATGTAATCGATTCCAGCTACACAGTTCACCACATGTCAACAACACGAGTATGCCTGTATCTTCTAGTGGAATGTCGGGTCCTTTGAATTTACCTCAACCGCAAGTCAATTCACCAATCTCATGGCCACCTCATGTTTCTAATCTTAACCCTTGGCATACTTCAAACCAACATCACCGATCCATGGGCATGTCACAGAGTTCCACTAGTCCTCCTCACAATACTATTGTCGGTATAGAGTCAGTAAATAGAGCATCACATCAATCCCAGCCAATCCCACTCAATATTCAACAATCCCCAATAAGTTCATCGGATCAACAATACAGCCAAATGAATACCACAATGAGAAATAACGCACAAGCTACTCAAATTATCTCTACTACATCTCCACATACTAGCACACCTTCCCATGGGGTGATACCTCAGTCAAATAATCGCCGTACATTTGAAGCACAACCTCTGCTGACAACTTATCAACAGCAGCCCTCTCAAGGGACTTCAACAGGAACTAACTGGCAAAGCTTTGGGCCGCAACAACGCCGACTGTCTTTTCAGCAGCAGAAAGCCCAGCATCATTCCCAGTATCCACAGAAGCCCAAGAATTCTCAAAATCCTCAAAATCCTCAGCATCCTCAGTATCCTCAGTATCCCCAGAATTCTCAGAATTCTCAGCATCCACAGTATCCTACAAACTCTCAGTATTCTCAAAATTCTCATCATCGCCAAACCTCCCAGCATCCCCCGAATCATCAAAACCCACACCGCTCTCAGCATACACAGCGTCCCCAGCAGTCACTCCACTCACAATATAACCAGGGAAATATTCAAGCGCAAGTCCAGGTGCAACGACAACAACAATACTCACAGAACATGCAGGAAAATATACAGTTACAACGGCAACAACAACAGCTTTTAGCTAGGCAGCAGATTCTTACACCTAATCGTTCAAGTAATGCAGGAAATCAAGTTGCTATCCATAATGGGGGTCAGAATGAATCAATTACAAGGAGCAACGCAAGTAGCAACACAAGTAGCAGTGTATCCACAAGGAATTTACAACAATCGGAAACGATGAGGACTAATAATGCTAGTGGAAATGGATTACGAATACAGGGTACGAGTCAGCAAGCTATTCCACCGGCCTATTTTAATAGTATGCCCGCCCTGTCCTTTTACCACAACCTCTCAGATAGGATTAAAAATGATATCCATGTGTATCAACAAACTTCTGCTTTAAATAGATCCATTGTTCCCCCACAAAATTGGTTACATCCACCCAGTATGACCAGTATCAATCGCCCAGAGCTAAATGCCCTACATCAAGCCCTACTCTGCTCTCCTCTATTAGTCCCCGCCAATTTTATATCGACGGAAGAAAAACAAAAAGATTCAACATATCGACATTATCAAGCCGTCAAATATTTAGCGATTTTGCCTACCAATATCACAAATAGGCCCATATCAAGGCTTGAATTTACCGTACCGAAGGCCGATATTTGTAAGATCCCTGTGGACGTAAAATCAGTCGGTGGAAATTTGCCGACCCGTAAATTTGAGAAAGGCACTTTACAGTATAGAATACGATGCGTTCAGATCAAAAGAACTGAAAATAACATATTAGAGAGTGACTGGATGGTTAGAGAAACAAGCTGGCCTGAGACTGCATCTCTAGATATCAATTCAATTCAACTAGAATCGCGAAGAAAGACTCACCATGGTAGAGATCTGCCGATTGATATTACACAGTATGTGCTTCAACATGGAGTTGAGTCACCGAACGTTATCACTGTATCAATGATTCAAGGACGTTGTGAATATAACTACTTTCTAGCGGTTGAAGTAATTGAAATACTAGAGCACTCACAAATTCTCGATATGTGTAAGGATATAAATAGGCTTCCTGCTAGTCATACTCTTGGCAAAATAATGAAGAGTTTGGGGCCGCAGTCTTCAGAAAGCCACGATGATATCGAAGTAGTTACTAGCGAGATCTCGATTAATCTTTCGGATCCATTCACATCATGCATCTTCGAATTACCCGTGCGTGGAAAAGAATGTCTTCACCGTGAGTGCTTTGATCTTGAGACTTTCCTCCTTACTCGGACAAGTAAGCCAAAACGACCAAGTCAGCCTTGTATGGTTGATGTATGGAAGTGTCCTCTATGTGGTCAGGATGCCCGTCCCTGGAATCTTCAGATCGACGGCTATTTAGAGACAGTCAGAAAAGAGATTGCTGCCCAAGGTAATCTAGATATTGTCAAGTCAATTCGGGTCAAGCCAGACGGTACGTGGTATCCAAAAATTGAAAAACGTAAGGCATCATCCGACTCTCAAGAAAAAAATGATTCGAGCGATGGTGAGAGTACAATTTCGTTTAAGGCAAGACAAAAGAAGATGATTGAAGTCATATGCTTAGATGACGAATGAGTGAATCTTCCATGGGCATCAATCTTCTCTATCACATCTATGCGTTTAATTGTGATTTCTAGTAATTTTTGCAACTTGAGCTTAGCGAGGATTTTAGATTTGTGTGTAGAGTTGTAATTCAGGCGTACTTTGGAACTTGGAAAGACAGGCGGCAAACTTGGCGGGCTCGGCATAATATGGCGTTTTTACGGCGGACGCGCACGAACCGAATGCTTTCATGGAGAAAATTGCTGGAATAAATGGAGGGCGAAACCGCGTGTATGTTTAATTGTAGCCTATAATTTTGATGGGTCTGATTCTCAACTTTGAGCTATATCCGAGATATGCCTCGTTCCTACCACACGCAAAGTATGAAATATAAAATGGCTCATATACATGTTTCGTTGCTTGTAGAGAAACGAGAGTCTCACACGGCTGTAAGACAATCATCAGACCCTTTAATTTTTCGAAATCCATGAAAAATCTACGGTCTGCAGTGTAATTCTTACTCCTCCCTTTACTTACCGGTATGCTTGTATAATTATCGAGTTTGCAAGTTGATAACTAACCTATACGCAGTACATAACAATAGATCTTGTAGGATCTGATGATGCGGAGACATAATGTTCGGGCTAGTCCCATATCTAGAGTGTGTTTGGGCATAGGGGGCGCCTTGTGACTAGTGATTACTAACTTCACTTCAACAGTACTGGCCTTCATATTGTTTGTTTAAATTATTATTACAGGTCTATTTGAGGGGTAGACGAAGTATTTGCCCCCCATAACTATGATTATCGCATAAAGGCGACTAACATTAATTCGATGGAGCGCGGGGTGCAGAACATTCCGTCGATGGGTATTCATGTGCAACGGTCGAGTATGTTATGGAGGCGGAAAATGTTACAAAGGAGTATCTGGAAAATAAAATCTAGGGCATAGGTATCTCTAAAAACAGAAGATTGATTTGACGAGTACAAAAGATATTGATCGTGTGCAGCGATGAGAAACACAAATAATGGAAAATGAAGAGGAATCATCAGGAAAGTTATTGAGGAATTTAAACCCATAAGATGCAAAGTTAGTTTGAAAAGAAAGGTGGCATCATTATATTGTAGATAAATTTGACTGCCGCCGTGGGGTTTGTTCCTCCAGCTTTTTATGCAACGTCGTAAGCCAGCGAGACTGCCCAAACCTTGTGTACTTGACCGTGAAAATTCCACATTGGTCTACAGGGATAATATCGCATAGCGAGGGACAGCATTTCCAGCGCAGAAAATTGGACTTCCAGCTAGCATTCTAGTCTATGTCATATCAGTGCCCAATGATGAGAATAGAAATTTGTGACTATCATGGACGTAGCAAATGGTTCATTGTTGTGTGCGTCTTGATGAAGACCTGTAAGCACTGGAAAGGCATACTAATAAGCTACAGCTATTGTGAGAGGGATGGGACGACCACTAGCTAAGATTATATCGCTACTGCCTATGATGCTGAACAAGTTTGTGCGCCATTTCGACACTAACATCAGGAATCCCATCGCGAAATTTTAGCATTGGGCTATTGATTGACTTGCTCGTGTTGGAAAGATACCCCGGGGGTCTTCGTGATTTTGACCCGATCACATGAGCTGCACACCAGCGTGGAAGGTTGTGAATTTTAGTATTAATTGCACAAACAGATGTATAGCTATTTCACATGATCAGACCAAGGACTGGCTAGCTGACCGGTTCCAGTAGCCCGATATAGACGGCGCACGATCGGTCACCGTCAACATGATAATGCGTAATGCGTATTACCGCTAATTGAGATGTCTGAGCGATAGAATCAGTGTGGCACAGCGCTAAATGGCGTCTCATTCATCTGGCGCCGGTTGACGATTAACAAGATCTACACACACTGTTATCAAACAGTGGTAAAGCTGTACAGTATCACAGGGGCAATCACCACACTCAAGAAGCTCCTAAGGACCTGCGCCGAACAGGGAAATCAGGAGCGACGACCTCGACAACTATCAGCAATCTGGCCGACGAGCCTCGCTCTCTGGCATGTGTGTCTAAAGTACCAGGGTCGAGATCTGAGCTCACTAGCAGAGCCTGCATGGTTGATGACTCTTCTAAATTCTCCATTACCCAAGACCATACAATCAATTTGGGTTAGGCCGCTTTACAGTACATACTCTATCAAGACTTTTCTGGTGTCTCAAAAAAACCTCTGATTATACGCGAGGCGCGAACGATGGAAAGACTTGAAATGATTCGAGTAGAAAAAAGAGAGTAACTCTCCTGAGTACACACTTTTCTATAGCGCCTACCTATCTAGCCTTTCTGAAACCTTTAGGAAGGCTGGCCATGTCTCTGTATTTATTAATGATATTGATATTGTAGGAGCCCGACATACAGCGATATTTGCGATATTTGTGATTCTCCTTTGCTGCTATACGCCCACAAACGGCCTTGATTCCGCCGAGAAATAGTGGGCCGATAAAGGGGAGAAAGGATTCTTTAATTCTGTAATGGAATGAGGATTTATGAGGAGTGGTACTGTAGAAAGTGGGCTCTAAATGAGGCACAGAAGAGACTAAGCTATCCGAGACAAACAAACTCCCGCTATCTTAGCAGAAACAACTTTCATGTTATGATGTAGTCACAGTCTGAAAATAGACATTAAGGAATAAATGTATCGAAAATAGTGCACGTTAAATCCAACCAGCTTTCTTGGTATCAACGTTTCATTAAAGTCTAGTCTATGATCTAAACCAGCTGAACTTCAGCCATTGCGCTATCTATCACGTACTACGTACATGTAGATCAACGTAGATTAAGCAACGCGATTTGAGCAGACCCGCGCGCGTCTGCAAGGCATCACGAGAGATTGTTATTATTAATCAATCTATGTCCTTTTGGAGTTAGCAACTTTGTAGGACAAATCACGAGAGCTTATTCGGAGGCTGACTTGGACAGGGAACTTTCTTCATGGGGCTTGAATTATTGCACCGTGGGCCAACGCCAATAGCATTGCGAAAATTTGCTGAGCCTCATTGTAGAAAGATATACCACACTCAGGCTTCTTGTGGAAACTATCAATAGGCGTTGAGTCATCTTTCACTTACTTAACTTACATGAGATTAAGAAGCTCCTGCGGTACAACAGACTTATCCCTGCTGCATAACTGATGCGATTTGCCGCATGATTTAGCGAACAGATTGCTGCTGCGCTGCTGCGTTGTAGAACGACCCCCATAGTATGATGAGCAGACTATAAGTCGGTAGGGCTTCTCTAAATGCTACCCGTCCCAATCGATCTAAGCTTGGAGAGTAGATATGATTTTTTTTTAATTATCTGGTGTCGCGCCTACGTGCAGCTTGTGCTTTGAGAAAGCACCTGTCGGTTGGTTGAGCCTAGGAGAAAGCTACGCGATGTGCTGGCGTCCTGAAGAGCCCAACATGTTCTGTGGAATCTAGAAAATACCATCTTATGCCTTGTCATACATGCATGTATATTATGAATTAAGAAAAAAAAGATACATGCCGTAGGAGTGCAAAGGCGTCACCATGTGACCGTAGCTTGGCTTAGATAATTATCAGATGACTATGCTTAGCTGGGCCATGTTCGCATCCAATACATCAATCAAACATTAACCATCATCATATATGAACCCCTCATGACGCAATTGGTAGCATTATCTTTCTGAGTACATGGCAAAACGACTTTGTTCAACACCTTCGCACTATTCCATCAGCTATTGCAGCTGATCTGAAAGCTATCATGATACGCAGCGCCGCCAGGGTCATTGCTGGCCTGCCAGTCTTTGAGCAGTCAACAACTGTCTCACAAACTAATGAAAATACGATATATAATCCCCCTCCAGCAATCAAGTCGCCCGGAGGGCAAGACTGAACACCTGTATGCGGTGTCCTCTATGAACCTGGGTGTGAAATACTCTCTCAGAGCCAAGTTCATTAATATTTTGCATTACCGAACAAGTTGGCGCACGAGGAAATGATTCAAATTACTCCACCATATCAATCTTTCACTCTCAAATAGTTTGACTCCTACCTAAGCCTCATCAAGTCTACAAGTACGACCAAGTACATCCTCATCCAAATGACCACACCTCTCTTCGACCTTCTATGATCTCAGCTCGTCACCAATACACACCCACGCTGATATTTACAACCGAAGGAGGAAGCAAAGCGTGCCGCACGAAACTAGGAGAAGGTTATTTGGGATGGACGTGAGAGGAATCAGGATAAGTTTAAAAAATGATGCAAAGGAAGGATATAACCTCGATGGGCGTGAAATTTCGAATTTTGGCAGGGAGTCTTAACAAATTGAGCTTTGTGCGTGCTAAGGTATCGGTTCCGAGAGTGCAGGCGACACTATAAATACGGCCATGGTTGGATGGTGCTGTGGTACATTGTCTTGGCCGGTCTGCCAAGTAGAGTCTGCATAGCTTGGACACTTATCCCACTTGAGACAGTAGATCGCTGGTTCAAATCCAGCAAAACACAACCACATTTCTCACGGCGCTGGTATACATGGAAGACGAAGGTATGCTTGGATAACCAAAGGTTTTGAAATTCCCTTTGGTGGGTACTTACGGAGGAGGGTCGACTGTTTGTGTAAGCGAACATACCTCTTGAGGTATTTGCGAATGAAATCCAGAGTACGAGTGTCTCTAACGTCAAAAGAGCTATCCAACATGTATACATAGCACCGGTTATATGTCATAGATAAATAGCTGCATGCACATTAAATGATTTAAAAAGTAAAAAAATCAAGTCACCCCTGTAATACGCATTTATGGCGAAGGAAGGAACCTATACCCCAGCCAAGTCACTCAAAACAAAAAAGAAAAACTGCAACGATGGCAATAAAGTCCAAGCCCGACTCGAGGGTCATGGTTCGCCTAGCGCCTAATCACCCCTTACGCCACCAAGATTCTGTCCTTATCCGCACGAAGTTGAGAAGCCTTCTAGACTGTCCAGGACTAATCAAAGATATTCGTTCGTTTCCATCTAG